CTCTCTCTCTCTCTCTCTCTCTCTCTCTCTCTCTCTTCTCCCCTTCTTGCCCTGTCCACTGGCCTGACCTCTTCCTCCCTCCTCGGATTTCAAGCTTTGTGGCTGGCCCCATGGGCGGGAAGGCTCTGCTTTTGCCATTGGAATCTGAGCTTAGTTTTACCAGGTCGGGACTGGAGAACCCTGGCCCCGTTCCACTGCACACACTGTTTGCACACACTGTTCTAGCTCTCTGGAAGGATGCCCTTCTGGAAGGAACCACTGGGTCTGTCTGACTCAACACTCAAAGCACTGCAGATCCGTCCCCCCACCCCTCCCACCCCAAGATAAGGTTTCTCATGTAGCCCTGACTGTCCTGGAACTCGCTCTGTAGACCAGGCTGGCCTCGAACTCACCGAGATCCACCTGCCTCTGCCTCCCGAGTGCTGGGATTAAAGGTGTGCGCCTCCATGCCTGGCTTTCCTAACATAGTCATTGGTCCAGTGTATGTTATTGTTGGGCTGATGACTGTGCCAACATGTCTTTACCCCTTCAGTGAGGTGAGCTTGCCTCAGCAGGAAAACTGTTTCCCCATTGGGGTCGTGACAGGCAGCACATTCATTGGTAACAGGTGAATAGCAGTGAGCAAATCCACGTGCGCTCGGCTTATGGAACCCATCCTTCTCCTGCTGGGTGAGCCGTCTCCCAACCACCCGCTCCGGGTGAATCCGTGGGGGTCACACATTTCCTGGCCTCCCTAACAGACATCTGCCCTTGGCCTCATCTATCTTGTTTAACAACTGGAGGAGGAAGGAATTGCCTCTGTTTTGGAATGTCTTAGCAGGTCTGGATCCAGGCAGGGAGAGCCAGTTAACTTCGGGACAGGGGATCAGACTGGCTGACTGGTAAAGCGCTGTGAAATCCCGTCCTTCAACTCCCTACAGGTTGAGAAAAGACGTAGTTCTGAGAAATGCTGGGATAATGGAATCAGAAGACCGGGGATCACGTGAGTGGTCTTAGTGACGGTTTACCTGTCACGTGCTTCCTTCCCAGCTCTTCCCAAGGCAAGACCCAGCTGCCACAGGTCTAGGGAACATTTCTCAGGTGCCGGCTAATTTAGCTGGCTGAGAGGGAGCCCAGTGTAACTGGGACTCTGCGAGGACATGTCATTATTAAACAACAATAACACAACAAACACGACTTTTTTCCTTTGCTCTTCCCTCAGTTTAGACAAAGAAGACAGATTTAGTTGATCAAATTACACTCTGGCCCGGCTGTGCCTTCTCCTCCCTCCAAGGTTAAAGTAGTTGATTTGATAATGTGCGCGACAAACCCCGGAAGCACTGAGCTAGATGACATAAAAGCTCTGTCTATTTCTGCAAAGGATGCTGCATCTAGAAGCCACAAATAGGCCATTAAACAGCAGAAGAGTGTCAGCTATTTAAGACCTTAGGTCACCTTCTTCCAGAACCATCCAGGGTTCTGGAGAAATGGCCTTTCCAAAGGAACTGCCCAGGGATTCACAGCCTGCCTGTCCCCACTGGTCCCTAGGATGCTTCTCTCACACGATGATATCTATTGAATCTGACCAGTGGATATAGAGATCAGTGAATGTGGTCTAAGCCCTAAGACTCTGGGACCCAGACTTGAGAAGGTTCAGTTTGTACTAACCCCAGATATTGCTGAATTATTTCCAGATGTTTCTAGCTGCCTGATCGCCTCTATGACCTCAAACTCTGCTTTGAATGTACCGTCTTCTGAAGCGGACTTTAAAAGCTGCTGTGCTGTTTCTACCTCCAGTTTCTGGTCCCTTCTCTTGATAAGAAAACACATTTCTCCATAGAAACTGAGCTACTCTTTTCATACTGTATTTCCTGGATGGAACAGGTGATTTTCTGTGTAGGCTCTACCTCTGCCCTCTAATTTCTCTCCAGGACATCTATCTGCCTGTATATCTATCTGTCGTCTGTTGGTCTGTCTATCTATCTATCTATCTATCTATCTATCTATCTATCTATCTATCTATCTATCTATCTATTATATATCTATCATCTATCTAGTCACCCACCCATTTACCATCCATCCATCCATCTATCTATCTGTCTGTCTGTCTATCTATCTATCTATCTTCTTTCTTTTTTTTTATTTTTTATTTTCTGAGACAGGGTTTCTCTGCGTAGCTTTGCGCCTGTCCTGGAACTCTGTAGCCCAGCCTGTCCTGGAACTCACAGAGATTTGCCTGCCTCTGCCTCCCAAGTGCTGGGATTAAAGGCATGAGCCGCCACCGCCACCGCCCTCTATCTATTTTCTATCCTCCATTAATCCACCTAGCATCCATTTATTCCCTCTCCCCCCGCCCCTGCTATAGACACCTCCTTTCTCTTAGGCTCTGCCATTCTCTCCCCACTCTGATATTATAGCATCAGACTCACACCTCCAGAGGATTTTCACCTCCCTGCCCCAGCTGGTGGCTATGGCCTTCTTTAGGCCACTTTGCAGGATAGGGACATTTCTGGCCCCACTGTCTAGTCAGTGATCTCACATCTATCATTCAAGTCCACCCTCCTCCCATTCCTTTCAGGTGGATGAACAGTTTGATGGAAGGACAGAGGGATGAGAGTAACAAGAGTTCCGGGATGATGGGAGAGACAGATACCCTTTGCTTATAAAGTATTCCTCATGGGAAAAATCTAATCCTGATTTCCTTTTCTTATAAAAATGCAGATTAGTGGTTTTTTTTTTTTTTTTGTTTTTTGTTTTTTGAGACAGGGTTTCTCTTTGTAGCTTTGCACCTCTCCTGGATTTCCCTCTCTGTAGACCAGGCTGGCCTCGAACTCACATAGATCTGCCTGCCTCTGCCTCCTGAGTGCTGGGATTAAAGGCGTATGTCACCACCGCCTGGCATGTTTTGTTTTGCAATCTGGGGTGAAGGTCTATAGTATTCATGGACTTCAATGTGTATGTGTGTGTGTGTGTTTAAAACAGGTTCTCATTATGCAGCTTTGGCTGTCCTGAAACTCACTCTGTAGACCTGGCTGTCTTGGAACTCAGAGATCCACCTGCCTCTGCCTCCTGAGTGTTAGAATCGAAGGCGTGCGCCACTACGCCTGCTGATGGTTTATTCTTTTGTTTTATTCTGATTTTTGTTGTTGTTTATTTTTTTGAGACAAGGTCTCGAGCTGTAGCCCAAGCTGATCTTGAACTCACAGCAATCCTCCTGCCTCTGGCTCCTGAGTGCTGGCATTACAGATGTGAGCCTCCCCTCCAGGTTGTCTTTGAAGGTCTTAATTGTACTATAATGTTTTTATTTTTGTTAGGTAATATTATTTCCTTCTTGGGTCTCTGAGGGAGTTGAAGATTAGTTAGTTATAGTTGAAGATTAGTTAGTTATAGTTGAAGATTAGTTAGGATAGAAAGTGAATTAGGTACATTTTGGACTTACCAAAATAGGATAGATAATGGAATTATTTTCTCTGAATTTGTCAAATACAAATGGACTAGACAGTGTTTAGTTATTTATTACTTGTATATATGGTATATAGTTATTGTACTTTCATATATAGTTTTTCTTATATTAGTTACAAACAATATAACAGCCAAAGATCAAGAACGGCTGTTTCCGTGACAGAATCTTGTCCATTGCTTAGCCAGCTTTGCTAGTTCTGATACTGTTTAAATATTGGCTGAAGAACAGAGCGAGTTCAGTTCCGGTGACGTCAGGGACCTTGAATGAACTGCATAATGGGGTTCACAATACCAGTATCTTATTTCACAGAACATCTTAAATTAAAAATTAAAAAAAAGAGTTTCTGATATTGGGCAGAGTGGCCTATACCTGTAATGGCCACCCACACTTGGGAGGTAGAAGCAGGGAGGTCAGGAGTTTGAGGCCAGCCTGGGCTATAGGAGATCCTGTCTTAAAACAAAACAAAACAAAACACCATCATCACCACCACTACCATCACCACCACCAAACTTATATTTCTGAGGTTAGACAAGATAAAGCCTGCAAAAATAGTTTTGACCACTATAGAGAAAAACTACAATGCCTATTCCACCAAAGTGTGTATAAAGAGAATATTATGAGTCAAGCCACGAGACAGGGCCTATGGAACCCAGGTAACTTTGTGTGGTGCAGATGCTCTGTCAGCCTTTTTCTGACTCAGAGGCTTTCTGGGGCTGTCTGCTGGCATCTGGGTTAGACTCAGGATGGACGATGTCAATTCTTACCTAAGACTTACTCATGGAGCAACTGTAGAGCCCAGTGCGGGGAACAGAGCCCAAGGTTCGGCTTGGAAACCGATTCAAGGACAAAGGCCTCTGTGCCATCTGAGCAAATACTGGGAGCCAGTCACTGTTGCGTGACATTCACAGTTCACATCTGGTGTTAGGAAATCTGCACTCCAAGCCAAGGATGGCATCCTGGCTGGACACGAAGATGTCATTGACAAGATGTTGTGTGAAAGTATGGAACTCCAGCCAGCAGCTGACAGCCCAGGGGAGAGACACCAAAGGACGGGTGGACACCCAATCCAAATCTCTTGTCCTAGAGGGGACCCTCCAAGGGGCCAGCTGCGGGGTCATCTCGGGTCAGGGTGAATTAAAGTCATGGCAGGAGCAGCTGAGCGGGGAGAGGGCAGCGAGCAGCTTCTTGGCCCAGCGTTTTGCCGAGCAGGCTGGGTCCTTTGGGGCTGGAGCTGACTTGTTCACATGGCTCTTCTCCAATGGCAGAGAGAGGCCACTGAAGGCGGGCTTGGGGACAGTGCCCGTCTCTCCAGGGCCCACCAGTGAGTTTAATAGCAACTGTCCCAGTAAACAAGAGTAGACTCATAGTGTGGACATAAAACTCTATTTTGTTTTGGTTTTCAAGACAGGGTTTCTCTGTGTAGCCCTGGCTGTCCTGGAACTCATGCTGTAGACCAGGCTGGCCTTGAATTCAGAGACCTACCTGCCTCTGCCTCCCAGAGTGCTGGGATTAAAGGTGTGTGCCACCACCACCCGGCCATAAAACTCTTTTTTAAAAGTACTCACTTCACCTGCCTTACAGCAAATAGAGCCCAATCACATAAAACCACAACTGGACACATGCAGAGACCAACAGATCCTGGGAGCCCACCCCAGTGGATACAGCTACATCATAGCTCCTGTATCTACGGCTCTGGGAACATCACAGAAGAGGAGCCAGAAAGACTGACAGGACACCAGAAAGTCTGCAGAGAAACAGTCTCTCCTAGAAATGGGGCATAATCAAGACGGAAATAACAGCAATGTCAAGAGACGTATTAATGTAGAAAGGGGAAAAGGTTTTTTTTGAGTACCCCTAGACTACAGGCAACTGATGACTGCTAGGACATGAGCCTCCTTAACGGTTGTCCAAGGTGGAGTGGTCAGCCTCAAAACCATATCGACACCATCAACAAAAGTGGACTCGGAAGGTTGTATTTGTATATATTTGTGTGGATACACATACACACATTCTCCTCTATATATGTACATAACCATAATAAATAAAAAGAGGCTATCAACTTGAGAATGGGGGTACACGGGAGGGGAGATGGGAGGGTTGGAGGGAGGAAGGGAGGTTGGAAAGTGATGCAAATCTCTTTCAATTAAAAACATACATGTAGCCAGGTGGTGGTGGCGCACACCTTTAATCCCAGCACTAGGGAGGCAGAGCCAGGTGGATCTCTGTGAGTTCGAGGCCAGCCTGGTCTACAGAGTGAGTTCCAGGAAAGGCGCAAAGCTACACAGAGAAACCCTATCTCGAAGAACCAATAAACAAACAAACAAACAAATAAATAAATAAATTAAATAAAAATATATGTATATAAAAATACATATATAGATTTAAAAAGCACCCACTTCATTCCAGAGAATATATTTCTATGTTTCCAACCAGAAAAATTGAAGGCAAAGCCTTTGAAGATGTTTAGAGCAAATGCTAATCCTTCAGGGTTTCCAACGGGAGCTGTTAGGCCCAATGCTGCTCTCTGGACTTTTCCTCCCTGTTCTGTGTATTGAGTGCTCATGCTTCCAAGTGGGTGAGGTGTATTGGGAGTAGGCGGTGCTTCTGGGATATGACAACCAGATGATTGTGGGACAGAATACTGGGATGGTCCTTTTCAGCAGTGAGGGTAGAGGAGAGATCTGAGGCTTGTGGAAAGGGCGGGCATGCTTGAATTCTCAGTCAACTGTGGCTGAGTACTCCTGTTGGAAAAGGATATTTTGGACCCACCAAACTTCCTTTCAAGAATGCTAAGCACATCACAGCATGTGCTTCATATTCAGGTTCAAGGGAGGGCTCTGGGAGGCTACGAAATATGACGTGGCCAGAGTGGTGTGCTCTCTATAATACTGGCATCTATTGAGCATTTATAGCTCGTGAGTTATAGCATATAGCATACCATATGCTAGGAACTGTTCTAACACTGGTTAGATATTAACTTAGTCATCCTAAAGTGGGTGGTATTAATATCCCCATTTTACAGCTGAGAAAACAGAGGCCTAGCCAGGCTAAGGAGTTTGTACAAAGTCACCCTGGCAGGATCTGAATCAGTTCTAGAGGCAGGACTGTTAGTTTTTGCATTCTCTTGCCTTCAGACTCTTCACAGTGTGTCTGGGTTCTAAGGTCAACCGTTTACCTAGTACACTGTATACTCTTACATCCACATACAGAGTTCATAGGATTTCTTTCTAAAATGGTCCTAGGAAGTTAGGTAAATTGTATATCACTGACTCCAGGACAGATCTTTTTCAAGGCCACATGGCTAGTTAGTAATAAAATACTCAGGGTTCCTGATATATGTTATATTCATATATATATATATATATATATATATATATATATATGTGTGTGTGTGTGTGTGTGTGTGTGTGTGTGTGTGTGTGTGTGTGTGTGTGTGTGTTCAGGATATATTATTCCTGATGTGGAATA